TTTGGTAATATAGATCAGCAAGACGTAAAGAACAGTTGGACTTACACGTTAAAAATATGGCTGCCAAAATGAGTATCTTAAACATGATTTGGATTGTTTTCGATTATTTCATGTGTAGAAGCATCGATATTTTATAGTATAATTGTTATTGTGTGATTTAATAGTAGGCACGCGCAGAATAATCTAGTTTCCACCTGCCATGATATTTTATAGGTTTACAAACGAATTGCAATAATATCAGCCATCATGAATCATAACACGAGGGGTGTTGCTAGAAACCATGAAAACTTGATAAATTTCATTCTATTTGAAATATCAATCAGTACTTACATTGTGATATCATATCTATTGCTGGTTTTTACATAACTACTAAGGCAAACTGAATCTTAAATAAACGATTTAAACATAATTATTGAAAAGTGTTTTATCACTTTTATAATTTGTTTACCAGTTAACATTTTTATTATCAATGAAACGATGAATTCCACGACAATTATTTTAGAGTTATTTTATTGACTTTTATAATTTTATTGCAAAAGTTTGTTGGAAACTATAAAACAGTTAAATGTCTCAACAATTACAGCTTTATTGCTCATAACTTCTCTTCTGTTATTATTTTCGCATTTTAAAAATCATTCTAAAGTTTTATTTCTGTTTCGTTTAAATATAATTTAAAGAAATAAACTTTCTAAATGATTCTTCTAACTGATAAATAATTTTCATTTTTTTAATTAGTAGACAGTTTCCTTTAAAAAGAATATAGCTTTTATTTAGATAAGGAATTAGACACGCAAGAAAAAACGCAGCAACCCCTTGGTCGAATGCAAATCAGTGACTAACTGTCACTGTTTCTTTATGGAAACAGTAAAGCAAAACTGCTACACTTTTTCTTTGGGAGCGTTTTTTCGATTATAAATAGGTGCCTAACGTAATAAGACGTTTACAAAATATATTGCTTCTTTCTTGCACTCTTTTAAAGCTTTCTGTATCTCTCTGAAAAGGTTTTTTTATGGTTAGACTTCTCTAGAGTAATTGTCCATGAAAAATGATTGGGGTTCCTCAATTTATTTCGATACAGGGCTGCAGAGTTAAACATGTTAAGTTTGAACATGTGTTGATTATTATAACTATAATTAAATAGATAGGAGAAAATGGCAAAAAAGCTAGCTTGACATAGTTTAGGAAGCTCGTTGTGCCCAGTAAAAAATATATAATTTACAACATACTGTATGGAGTATAAAACTTGTCTAATTTACCAGTTGTTCAAACGAAAGAAAGGTCAAAATAAAGCTAATTTAATTAGAAAAATAATATTCGAAACTAATGTACGATTATGATTACCTTTAATATATTTTTCTATAATTATTTACAAAATGAGGAAGCAATTACCGCACTTATTATGCATTAAAAAGAAACTGTAATTACTTTTTATTTATTAAACAATTTATCCACATCAAACTTTTTTGCACCTGTTTTCCGTTAATCTGTATAATTATCTGCTATTTATGAAAGTATAAATACACAAAATTTCTAACGATCGACAACTGTTTGTTTTAAAAATATAATCATGTTCAAGTTATTTATCTTTGCAGCTTTACTCATAATGTGTAAGGTTTTTATACAGTACATTAATCAATACTGTCTTACTTATTTTGATAATATGGCATGTTAATACCTATTTATATATGAATTAGCAGATAAGCCCGGCGTTGCTGGCGCAAAATGTAACGATAGCGAAGATTAAGATTATTGCCAATCTTACCCGTTTTCACAGAATGCAAGCATCAGGTTTCTGTTTCCGAATCAATTAAAGAGTTTTAAAATTATGTTCGATTTCTCGCAAAAACGCAAAAAACCGCATCTGAAATAAAAGCCAAGTTTTTCAGGGTAAGCCTTAATTCTCTCTCGAAAAATTCTTTCTTAGTGTGCGTTCTCGTGACATACTCTAATTGTAAACCAAATTTCAACTTTTAACTCCTAACCGTTTGGGCTCTGCGCTTATTACTATTATCAACCTATCTCGATTATATATATAGATGGATTATATACAGTGAAAACTGCTTAGGCGATCACAAGCATTTGACTGGCACCTGTCAAAACGAGCAAAACTTTCTGGAACTGAATAGTTTATCCATAGAGTCTTCGTATAAGTTACCTTCATTAAACGACCACCTGTAATGCAATCGCGGCCATCGATGTTTGGTCCGAACCAACATTCAACAACTGTAATAAGCGACTATTTCTGCTAATATATCTGGTGTAAACTATTGTTCAACAATGCTTCTCTCTTCCTCATATAATGAATTAGTCTAAACTTTCGTTCGAACTAACCTCTGGCACTTATCAAACCCTTAAAATTAGGTGCGGGTGTTAAATTAGTCTAGCAACAAAGCAAATTGATTTCAATTCGTTGGAAAATGTCCGAAAACGAAAGATATGCAAAGTGCTGTAGTTAGAAGATCGTTTTAAAATTAACAGAGAAAGTGAAAATAGTTTATCACAAGGGCAATTGGATGCGATGTTTAACTGTGGGAAAACGAAATTTATTTTATCGTAGACAAAGGGTTGCCAAACTTTTTTAACCGTCAACCTCCAACCACTTTCCAAAGCTTCACATTGACCCCACCGTAAAGTTTTATTACAAGTGTATGTGTATGAGCAAAAGAAAAAAAAAATTGTGATCTCTGTATAAGCAAATAAAAAGAAAGGTTGTGAACCCTTAGCCGCATCGACCCCCCCAAATGATGTTGCATCGACCACTTTGGCGATTCCTGCCGTAGACCTAGAATATTTGTCTTGAGAGTTAAAAATATTGTACAGGATTGGACCAACGGACAATGGGAAATAACGACTACAAAAGGACCTTGACCATTTTTACTCTCAAATAAGAATTATTAAACTTTCTGCTAGTGAAACGATTTCCTCCGTAAAAAAACCGTATTGTATAAGAAACAAGTAATTATCAGTAACAGTTATAACTAATTAATAAAACAAAAATTACTATGATTATAATATTTAACTTTTAGAAATAGGCAACTTGTACTATTACTAACATTACTAGAGTGTAAATTATGTGCCATTTACACTTATGTCATGCTTTGTGTATTTTGTTCCATTGCTAACAAATATTTAAAAAAAATATATCTATATAAACAACTCGAAATTTAATAACATGATGATAATTTTAATAAATATCTGCGTAATTATTTATAAACAACTGCAAAATTAAAAAATATTTATATAAGTGCAATCTTCTTTATAATAGTCGTGCATTTAAGAAAGATGTATGCAGTACTGTAGCTAATATTACTCTACACATAGAATAGACACATTTTACTAAAAAAAAAAACGAAAAGCAAACAAAATTATAGCAAATGAAACAGCATACTGATTGTACAGAATACCGTGCAAATGCAGATTAATAGAGCTAAAAAGTATATGCATTCTCTTTCCTTGATAAAATTTTGTACAAAAACTTTAGTTTTCAATACGATTTCAATATAGTATAAAGACAATGTAAAGGTTACAAAACATATCGTGAAACAAAAACGATAATTCCTCAACGTGACTACCTCTTTGTCAATAATTTTTTTTTGTTACAGTTAAGAAAACTTTAGTGTTATATTATTTGTAAACACGTGGAATCGAGAAAATATCATTCCGAGCAAATGCACCCGGGACATATTCAAAGTATCTAACGTTTTAATTTAAAAATTCCAAGATGTTAAAGATAAATAAAAACACCAAGATCTTTCAATTCATACACTCCAACCATTTCAACCACGACCATATGGATCATCCTTGAAAGTATAGGAATAATAATCATACTTATATACGCATTTTATACAATCAAACATCGTTGTCGGAAACGGAAATTAGAAAAGAAGGTAAATAAAATGTCACAACAAGACATTTCACTTCAAGAAATTCCTCGCAGAAATAATTTGGTAGAAGAAGAACCGGAATTAGTCGAACCTGTTGAAAGCTCAACTGTACAAGCTTCAAGCTCAACTCAGACAAAACGACAAATTGTTCATACTTATCGACTTTAATTCCAATTTGATTTTTCGAGATGATAATTACGTTTTCGATTGAAACTTTTATTCGATTGTTCGACATTGGAATTTCTGTTCACATTTATCTTTAGTTTATAAGATGGCTTTGATTAGGACACAATTGAAAGTTAAAGAAAGTATATTCCACTCTACGATAATACAAATTGATTAGATAAGAGATAATAATATCATATAGAATAGTTTGAAAACCTCTATCTTCCCCTACTTTATCAATGACAGCGGAGAAAATTGGAATATATAGAAGTAGGCTACGTGAGGGATGTTTAAATGTGAGAGATGCCTGTCGTCAGCGTGGAAGTGCGTGGTTAAAAAGTTCACTAAAAACTCGGGCTAGAATTAGTTTATTGGAAGATTTATTATATTTTTATTTTTTATTTTATTTTCTGTTAATTTTATGTTATTCCGTTTCTCTTGCATATTTTTAAAAAGTTTTGTTCTTAATTTGATTTAAATATTTGTATTCTATACATGGAACGTATCTGTTCCATTTTCGTATTTTTCGTTCTATTTTAGAAAGTGATGATATCATCAGTTTGAGTGTGGAGTTGAAATTTCTGCAGCTGCAAAGGTTCGAAATAGTGAAAGTTCAGAGAGCAGTCACCCGGACATCGGTGGCCGATCTTTGGGAAGTGAAAGTGGACATTAATTGCACACCCGGGATGTACTGTCTGAAATTTTTGAGGTCGTAAAACCGGAATTAAGTAAAATTTCGTGACTTTCTATACCCATTTTTAGCGGGTTTTGGAGGGCTTATCGAGCCCAATTTTAGTGATTTTTGAAATTTAAAAGTACCGTTAGAAAACGGATGTTTTCAGCATAGAAGATAAAAAGTTTAACGATGTGCACTTAACGATGTGTAATAGTAAAGGTTTAAGATGGATTTGTGAATGTGAGGTTAAAGCGGAAGGTGACTCACTGACCATTCGCCGATAAGTTTTAAGATTCAACTTCCAAAGGTTAAAGAGAGAATTAAAGGGAAGAAGTTTGATATTAACAGTGCGGACTAGGAGAAGTTTTCTGCCCGGTGTATTAATGAACTCAGTAAACTAATAAATAGGAATTGTCTGGAAAAGGAGGAGGTACAGGTTAATATAGTTAGTGCCATTTAGAAGATTAAACACTCATTGCTATAAAAATTATTGAACCAAGGAGTTGTTGGAATTGAACAAAATTGTACATGTTTGAGTTTAATGGTAATATAAGTAATTACAATATGAACGTAAAAAAATCATTTATTGCAGGATAAACTACAAATGAAAGCAGGTTTCAACAGGAAACATCCCTGTGAAATGAATCTTCCATCCTCATCCAATGAGAAGATCACAACGATTTATTCATCTGGGAAATATTATTAAGAAATTGGATCAATGTAATAGGCCACTCTAGAGCTCTAAAAATATGGGTTTCATACTTTAATAACTTAAAAAATTTAAATCACAGCTACCAATTATTTTCAATTATAGTTTGAGCGTTAATTAAATGTGTAAGTCTAATAGTGCAGCATTCTAACAACTTTCAAATATCCAATTCCAACATACACTGCATATTTTTGAAATTTAATTACCAATTAAATTTAAATAAAACAAAAAACTTACTTCATACAACATGCACAACAAATCCGTGTTGTGTGCTCGTGTTAATAAAACATGTGTTAAGTGTTGCACAAACCATGACCCATACACTGGATTTCTATATGATTTGTATCCTATAAAAAAAAAGTAATTTATATTACAATAGAAAAATCGAAATTAAAATAAACATTTTAATTTATAACAGCTTGTACAGGTAAACATTTATCATTGCTGTGCTATAGTAAAATAAGCCATGGCTCACAGGTATCAGTTTTATTTTGCAAAAATAACCCATGTCCAATTTTGTAAGATTTACGAAAAAGCACTAGATATACATCACTTTCTCACTTGTAACTTCATTTAGTGCAGAACTCACTGTAGTGCACTTTAATGTACCAAGGGATTCAAATAATTTGCAATGATTAACTATAATGTGGCCACTACCAGCTTAAGAATAGTATGTAGAGAAGAAATATAGTTTTAGTAAAATAAATTTTAACAAAAATGGTACGAACCTAAGTAAATGATAAAAAGTATTGTAGATCAACATGATTTTAAATCACTATGAACTATATACATTTATTTTAATAAAAAGTTGTATATTCCTTTTAAAAAAGTGCAGAGAAATTTGTACTTACATAAATGTACTGTACTTACTTAGTAATAAAAATTTTAATAATTTAAAATTAATAAAATGGATAGTAGCAATCAATCCTGCCACTCACTCTCACTACCTACTTGATACATTTTGCTGCCATGTAATTTGACTTTTTAATACAAATTTTTAACAGATCTGCTTTCAGCATAATTTTGAACAACAATCAAAATGAAATTGATTGTAATGTTAATACAAATTTAGCAAGCAAAACAGCATTAAAAAACAAATTGGGGTACAGAATGTACAGAAAAAAGAGAACACACACATTAGATAATTTTGTTATTACTACTACAAAATTAACAAAAATTCATGGACTACTTTTTCACTCTTATAGTTTCTTTTTTAATAACCAATTACTAAATAAGTTTTCATTAGTTGTTATTGCCTTATTGTCCTTATTTCTGACAGTCCTATTAATAATTTATGTCCAAGTTGACAAATATAATAAGATCAGTTTTGCTTAGTTTTTAACTGAAATAATCCCATTTCAAGTTTTTAAATTTCCTGCAAATCTGCTGCTAAAAGTTGAATAGTTCCAGCACATCATTAATGTTGTGTTGTTTTCAATTTATGATGAAGATTATTTAAAATTTTTCAAACTGCCATTTCTTTTATTCAAGCTTCCAAAATACAGATTTCAAAAGATTACAGGAAATTCAATTTAAACCCCTTATCTACAAAATACAATAGTTTCAAATATTTTATATTTGCAATGTAATCACTACAAATTCAATTATATTCTTTAAAATGATTTTGTTTTTGTGTATTTTTTAATGCATACTTTACCCAAGATGATTTCTTATATTGGAGACATGACCAAAATGGTCAATTGTAACAGATATATCCTCATTGCAAAATGTATTAATTTGCAGGAACCATCTCAAAGTGGACAACTTAAACAGATAGTCACATTAGCAGGTTTCATTGTATATTTACTTTTTATTTATTAAATAATTTTTTTATTAAGTGACTCACTGTAATTTCTTATAAGCTCAGTTACATAAATCAAGTTACACTTTCAGAAACAAATTTTTAACTATGTAATACCATACTGAGATTTTTAACTATGTAATACCATACTGACTTTTTTAATTTAAAATTTTTGACAAAAACAAAAAATATTTGTCTTCAAGATGATACATTGAGACACTCCTCTTTTAGTGTACAGTTACAAGCAATGACTCTTGAATTTGCAAAAAAAATCTGTTAATGTAATTACATATAAAAAGCATTTTAAAATTAACAGGGTGTTAATTTTTACATGACATGTGAACCAGAAATTTTGCCCTCTTAAATAGAGGTTTTACTATAATAATAAAATAAACTCAGAAAAAAAATGAAACAAAAAAATAATTTTAATATCAATATTAAAATTATTTCTTAAAGCTTTTTTAATCATAAAAAAATTCATTGTATAAAAAATTTAATGCTTTTTAGCTTGCATTTTGTACTAGACTGAAGTTTAGTCAAAATCTTAATTGCAAGTATTTATTAAAAAAAATTAAATCAGTTCATCGAAATAGTTCAGGGTTGTATTGGTAAATACTTGATATCATTTCTTGCAAATGTATGAATACATGATTGTGGATTGGTTGTTTGCCTATGCAATGGAATGCATTATATACAGATTTTAAATTCCACTTATGAATTAAAGTTGATTCACACTAAGCAACTAGCTAGTTGTATAGTGTAAATCAACTTTAATGTAAAAATTTTTTATACAGATTTTAAATTCCACTTATGAATTAAAGTTGATTTAATTCATAAGTGGAATTTAAAATCAGTATATAATGCATTCCATTGCATAGGTCATATCCTATTTAAAATTATCTTTACGGTATATCGAAAAATTTTTACATTAAATTTAATTATTACAATAAAATATACAGGGTGTATTTTTTAAATTGACAGTACTCACAAACATCTGTAAAGCAATCTAACAGTTGAACTGCCGCAAAATTTGGGAGAGTGTCTAAGGACGACATGGGAAAGAGATTCCGCAAAGAAAAAAGTAGTACCTAAATTTGCCGGTAGGGTGGATTTGGCTCTGTTGTAGCAAACAGCTAAGAATTTGCATAAAACCCAGCTGCAGTTAACAAACACACGAATGAATAATCAGACAGAGGTTTCAGTACAATAATGAAATTTTAATTAATCGGCAAATAACTTTCTCCCTCCTTCAATGTGACCACCTTCCTGCTGGACAACACATTGCATCCTGAACACATTGTTCTCTACGGCCGAACGTAACATGTCTCCAGGAATGTTCATCACAGTTCGAGAATGTTGTCCTTCGAGGTCATCAAGTTGGGGACACCATGGACTTTTAGTAACCCCACAGGAAAAAGTCACATGAAGTTAGAACCTTCAACGAGTCCAATCACAACATCACTAACTGTCTGCGTAGACACTGGTTTATGCCCTCTACCAAGCTAAACTGCTGAGGATCCTGTTTCTTCAAATTTATTTATCAAGTCTTTAAATGCTTTGATTGATAGAGGACCTCTGCATAGGTTGTTACTGGTTCTAAACTCACGAAGAGCACCCGGTCTGCTCGATTGGTTAAGATAATAAAGTTTCAGAAGCAACGCACGCTGAGGTAGCGAAAAATGCATGTTGAATTCTGCTGAAGTCCGGAATGCACTTCGGACTTTTGTCCTTGTCTTTTAAGCTCAAATTAGTTGGTGCTGCTGTCAACCACATCATTATGAATTTGGATTTTGCGATGTTACCAGCGCGTTATGCAAATTTTTAGCTGTTTCGCTACAGCAGTGCCAAATCCGTCCCTACAGGCGAATTTGGGTTCTACTTTTTTCTTCGCTGAATCTCTTTTCCATGTCGTCCATAGTCACTCTCCGAAATTTGGCGACAGATTGCTCTATCAGATTGTTCTACAGATGTCTCTGAGTACCATCAGTTTAAAAAACACCCTATATATATTTTTTATTGTAATAAATATCAAATCACTTACAATAAAATATACATATATATATTTTATTGTAAGTGATTTGCTATTTATTCAAAAAATTACTTTAAAGCCTACTACAAATTAGGCAATATTGAAGCAAACTGGTCAAAGGCAATGTTGAACAAAGTTCGTTTAATCATCACACAGTCGACCGTTGATTGTCCAGTGATGAACTCAATGTCACTCTACGTAATACCCTTCAACAGAAAGTATGTGATTATCTTACCCTCTCAGATCCAAGTAGTTTGATTTTTTTAGGTGACAATTGGTGACCCTCATGCACATTTGAAAGTTTGCAGGAAAGGAATATGTGCTGTACACCACAAAGAAGGTGTACATTTGTGCTGTAATCTTTGTCATGCTATGTCTTTGCTTTGCTGGGATTATGAGAGATGTTTAATTGATTTTCAACGACGAAAGAATATAAGTTATTTCATTGATTTTATCCAAGTTTATAAGTTTATTGGTCCCTGATTTTCTTTTCCTTTATTTATTAAATTTATGCCAAATAGACAACAAATGGAAGTAGCAGAAGCTAACACCAGCAAATCATTGCTGCAGATTGTTGCTGTTTTACAAAGTGAACTACTAAGCAATAGTTCATAGAGGGATAGACGAAATGTCCTTTGGTTCTATAGAACTTCATCACAAGTGATAGCACAAGCGGCTATACTGCCAGATTGTCAAAGGAAATCAGTCACGTGACCATAAAACGTGCCTCTGATGTAACATCAAAAGTGACGGCATTGCCTAGTTTGCAGCAGATATCTATGATCACATTTACTGCCACTCACTCTCACTACCTACTTGATACATTTTGCTGCCATATAATTTGACTTNTAATAAAATAAATTATTTCCAAATTTACCATTAATGGCTGCAGTATGTAACCATTATGTCTGACCATGTTGGCATTTGTATTGTATCTCTTCGATGTTGAAAATAATGGTGGCTGTCAGACATGATGTTTCGAATTGGAATTCCAAAATCCGATTTTTCTTTATAGTAAAAATAAAATTAAAACTTTCTTATAAATAATCATAATTTTTAAAAACTTATACAATAGATATAAGCACAGTAGGCCCCCACTTTACAACTGATTTAACATAGGATCAAATCTATGATAGATTCTCCATAATGATAAGAAAATAAATCCACTGTATGATAAATATTCACTTTATAATACACTTTCGATTTTGATAACTGGGTCCGAGGAAGAGCTTAGATGATAAAATCAATCAATAATAATAACAACACAAGTGTTTTGGATAACACATTAATAAATTTATTCCATCAGCTGCTGATGAAATAAAATTTTAAAAATGTTTTAATCATGTTTTATTATTTAATTATTTAGTATTCTATACAACACTACCATTTTATAAAAAAAAATCCTTTACATAGAGAAGTAAAGCAAAGCTCTGTGGCAAATTTAAATTTCTGATGTCTCAAAACAAATTACCAAAAAACTACTTATTATGTTCTTTTTACAATATTTTCATGACAGAATTGAAATCTCTAGAACACATTAATATTGTAAAGAGTGGACTACTGTAATACATTTAAATGCTTGGAATTAAATCTAGTTTTATTATTTTAAAAAAATATAATTTATAAATGACTGTTTTATTCATATAGTAGATATATATATGAATTATGCTAATAATTTCTTTGTTCAATCCAGACTTTATCATGTTTATATTTGATGTTATAATTTTCAAATAAAACGTAATGATTTACTTTAATAAACCTTGAATATAAACTTTATATTTACAGTAGTGCAGCAAACTCAACTTAACGTGGACTGATGTGCAGTGGTTTGCCGTGACATTTGATGTTAGAGAAGATGTGTTTCTGTAAGAAGCTGACTTCCAGGGGCAATCAGTGCTAAAGAAAACTTTAAGTTCGTTTTTCTCAATTATATTTGAGTATAGCACTTTAGTACTTTACAGGTAGTACACTCACATGGTGTACTACATCTACACCAAAGATCATCAAAATCCGTTTTCCCGAAGCCGTAGGGTCTTCTTGTTAGATAATTTCATTTGTTCGGTTACAAATGCAATAATATTACCAGTTATTAAGCTATTTTGAAAAAAAANGTTCGAGAATGTTGTCCTTCGAGGTCATCAAGTTGGGGACACCATGGACTTTTAGTAACCCCACAGGAAAAAGTCACATGAAGTTAGAACCTTCAACGAGTCCAATCACAACATCACTAACTGTCTGCGTAGACACTGGTTTATGCCCTCTACCAAGCTAAACTGCTGAGGATCCTGTTTCTTCAAATTTATTTATCAAGTCTTTAAATGCTTTGATTGATAGAGGACCTCTGCATAGGTTGTTACTGGTTCTAAACTCACGAAGAGCACCCGGTCTGCTCGATTGGTTAAGATAATAAAGTTTCAGAAGCAACGCACGCTGAGGTAGCGAAAAATGCATGTTGAATTCTGCTGAAGTCCGGAATGCACTTCGGACTTTTGTCCTTGTCTTTTAAGCTCAAATTAGTTGGTGCTGCTGTCAACCACATCATTATGAATTTGGATTTTGCGATGTTACCAGCGCGTTATGCAAATTTTTAGCTGTTTCGCTACAGCAGTGCCAAATCCGTCCCTACAGGCGAATTTGGGTTCTACTTTTTTCTTCGCTGAATCTCTTTTCCATGTCGTCCATAGTCACTCTCCGAAATTTGGCGACAGATTGCTCTATCAGATTGTTCTACAGATGTCTCTGAGTACCATCAGTTTAAAAAACACCCTATATATATTTTTTATTGTAATAAATATCAAATCACTTACAATAAAATATACATATATATATTTTATTGTAAGTGATTTGATATTTATTCAAAAAATTACTTTAAAGCCTACTACAAATTAGGCAATATTGAAGCAAACTGGTCAAAGGCAATGTTGAACAAAGTTCGTTTAATCATCACACAGTCGACCGTTGATTGTCCAGTGATGAACTCAATGTCACTCTACGTAATACCCTTCAACAGAAAGTATGTGATTATCTTACCCTCTCAGATCCAAGTAGTTTGATTTTTTTAGGTGACAATTGGTGACCCTCATGCACATTTGAAAGTTTGCAGGAAAGGAATATGTGCTGTACACCACAAAGAAGGTGTACATTTGTGCTGTAATCTTTGTCATGCTATGTCTTTGCTTTGCTGGGATTATGAGAGATGTTTAATTGATTTTCAACGACGAAAGAATATAAGTTATTTCATTGATTTTATCCAAGTTTATAAGTTTATTGGTCCCTGATTTTCTTTTCCTTTATTTATTAAATTTATGCCAAATAGACAACAAATGGAAGTAGCAGAAGCTAACACCAGCAAATCATTGCTGCAGATTGTTGCTGTTTTACAAAGTGAACTACTAAGCAATAGTTCATAGAGGGATAGACGAAATGTCCTTTGGTTCTATAGAACTTCATCACAAGTGATAGCACAAGCGGCTATACTGCCAGATTGTCAAAGGAAATCAGTCACGTGACCATAAAACGTGCCTCTGATGTAACATCAAAAGTGACGGCATTGCCTGGTTTGCAGCAGATCACATGATCACATTTACATATTCAAATGTTATATTTATATATTTGTTAAAGATTGACTTATATTTCTACTTTTATTTATTTTGTATTTTAATAAAATAAATTATTTCCAAATTTACCATTAATGGCTGCAGTATGTAACCATTATGTCTGACCATGTTGGCATTTGTATTGTATCTCTTCGATGTTGAAAATAATGGTGGCTGTCAGACATGATGTTTCGAATTGGAATTCCAAAATCCGATTTTTCTTTATAGTAAAAATAAAATTAAAACTTTCTTATAAATAATCATAATTTTTAAAAACTTATACAATAGATATAAGCACAGTAGGCCCCCACTTTACAACTGATTTAACATAGGATCAAATCTATGATAGATTCTCCATAATGATAAGAAAATAAATCCACTGTATGATAAATATTCACTTTATAATACACTTTCGATTTTGATAACTGGGTCCGAGGAAGAGCTTAGATGATAAAATCAATCAATAATAATAACAACACAAGTGTTTTGGATAACACATTAATAAATTTATTCCATCAGCTGCTGATGAAATAAAATTTTAAAAATGTTTTAATCATGTTTTATTATTTAATTATTTAGTATTCTATACAACACTAACATTTTATAAAAAAAAATCCTTTACATAGAGAAGTAAAGCAAAGCTCTGTGGCAAATTTAAATTTCTGATGTCTCAAAACAAATTACCAAAAAACTACTTATTATGTTCTTTTTACAATATTTTCATGACAGAATTGAAATCTCTAGAACACATTAATATTGTAAAGAGTGGACTACTGTAATACATTTAAATGCTTGGAATTAAATCTAGTTTTATTATTTTAAAAAAATATAATTTATAAATGACTGTTTTATTCATATAGTAGATGTATATATGAATTATGCTAATAATTTCTTTGTTCAATACAGACTTTATCATGTTTATATTTGATGTTATAATTTTCAAATAAAACGTAATGATTTACTTTAATAAACCTTGAATATAAACTTTATATTTACAGTAGTGCAGCAAACTCAACTTAACGTGGACTGATGTGCAGTGGTTTGCCGTGACATTTGATGTTAGAGAAGATGTGTTTCTGTAAGAAGCTGACTTCCAGGGGCAATCAGTGCTAAAGAAAACTTTAAGTTCGTTTTTCTCAATTATATTTGAGTATAGCACTTTAGTACTTTACAGGTAGTACACTCACATGGTGTACTACATCTACACCAAAGATCATCAAAATCCGTTTTCCCGAAGCCGTAGGGTCTTCTTGTTAGATAATTTCATTTGTTCGGTTACAAATGCAATAATATTACCAGTTATTAAGCTATTTTGAAAAAAAAACCAATTAGTTGAGTGTACTTAATGAAAACAATTAAAACATAACAAAACTACATTCAAAGCAAGATCTGAAAATAACATATAAAAGAAACTTAAGTGCTTCAATTAGAATTACCGATGAATTTTGTCTAGAAGACCAATGGCTAGTTCTACGAAGAATTCACAGTCTTAAGTTTAAGATTATAAAAAATCATGTGGTCTGACAAAAGCAAGCTGTATTAATAGCTAAAGCCATGTATGCATTTTGTTGTAAATACACACATGCATTTAATGGACTTTGGAATTATTGAAATAATAAATTTTTGAAAAAAATGTCCAAATTAATTCAATGCCAAACAGATTTCTTCCATAAAAATAAAAGAATTATTTCTTCATTGGCAGTGTACAATGTCTGTAGTGTTGCCATATTTTTAAAATCACTGACCCGGATGGCAGGTGAGGTTTGTTCAAACAGAAGTTCCTGATGCATGCGCAATGTCATTTTGCAATGCAAAGAATAACATGCAGTGCATGGCGGTTCTAAATCAGTCACAATTAGGGACTAGGGAAACTTGGGTAGAAGTAACTCAAGTAACTAAATTAAGAAAAAAACAACTACAGATGACTTAGCTCTATTGGATATTGGAGACGTGTACGAATACGAACCGTACAAAAAAAAAAGGTCGGCAGGTTGCGCACGATATTCCCAGATAAAACTGATAGTTCACTTGGACAGTGAGTCGATTCCCAGACTGTCCAGGTAGTAACACTAAATGTCTGTATAATTTTGAACAGATGTCCAATATATCAACAATGTAACTGGTAAAACTGAAAATGTAACTGCCACTTGGAGATGAAACTTTCCTTATAAACACATAATATGGCATAATATTTCAAATTAAACAATATTTTCGTGGGTCACTAGACCAGATAATGACTTTGAATTTCATTGTGAAACATATTCTAAATTATATGAACTAAAATATATGCAAAATCCTATTCTTGACCAGGGACTAGACTTCACTTTGAATTATCTGATATCAAAATAACAAGGTTCTGCTGTGTATGTTCACACAGTTCGAATAAAAAAGTATTCTTAGCAGTAGGTAAGGTGAAATTAATGTATTCTTTTAATTATGGGATGAAGAAATATATTTATATAACTCTTTGAAAGTTAATTGAAATGTATATCATCAAGTACACAAAAGTATAAGAATAAGCTTTGTTCTGTGGGAAACTTAAAAAATGTTACTCAAACTTAAAATTTTACAGATAATATACAGCAGTTAATATTAATATTAATTGTAATAAGATTTAATTTATATATACATTTAAAAATGTATAAAATCTATACTGTTAAAAACAAAATATAAAATATATATATTTTTTAAACAATTACAATTTATACTTACCACCTCTACATGCTTGAATAAAAAATATCTTCGGTTTTCCATGTCGCATTATGTCGCATGGTAGTGAGGGTATAATATACGAAACGTGTAGCGGCGAGGTCATATCAGAAGATATTTTTGAACATTTTAATAATGAAAATTGCCATGCGTTGTTAGGAAAATAACAACGCATAGCAATTTTCATTATTAAAATGTTCATAAATCTCTTCTAATATGACCTCGCCGCCACACGTTCCATATATTATACCCTCACTACCATGCGACATAATTACAACCACACACGAATCTGCACTGTAATTTTTGCGATCTTTAGATATGTTTTCGAAAATGTTCTTTATTTCCTGTTAGAAAAATTTTAAACATTTATTTATCTGTTTATTAAAATTATTATATATTATACCAACAATAACAAATATCATAATATGTGTCTTTATTGTTGTTAACATTTTTTTTCTGGCTATGTTCGTAGATCTGCATTGCACTGTAATTTTTCTAATCTTGTTAATGATATTTTCAATGAGTTTAATATCATTCCACTGAAGTATGCTATTCCTGGCAAATGCTCTTTCCATTACCTAATATGATACATTTATAAAACTAATGTTTCTATTATGCTCTTTTATTCTATTACAAAAAATCCTTTCGTCACTCCAAATAAGATCATCTAAAATGTTGTACAAATTGAAGTGATAAAAATTTCAATATAAAAGAATCATATATCAAATATATCAGCAAATAATTAGAAAATAACAAGCAATTATTTATTGTGACATTGTCACAATGCCAGGCTGCAATTTTAAATCATATTTTTAATTTATTTAATTTAAAATATATGCTCTACATTTCAAATTATTAGTAATGGCTTGCCCCTGTACATCATACTTTTTCTTTTACAATAGAGTTGTACTGGTCATCTATTAACTGCTATTAGAGGAAAAGTTCTGAAGTGAAATAACGTGACTCCTAGTTTGCACTGAAAGTTCATGTATAGTTAATCAAGGCTTCCTGCCACTATGGTTCGCATGTCTGGCCTCAGATTTCATCTATCTCTGTTCTCAAGATTAAGGAAAGACAGACAGACAACAGTAGGAATTTCTAGGTTTACAATTTTTTCAAATTCCAGCCCAAAAAATGAAATGCAAAAATTTAAATACAAGTTTGTCAAGGATTCGTTCTTTCGTCAATATTCTTCAATGTTTACATAAAATTATTAATAAAAAAACAAAACATAAAGTAAATATAGATAATAACCGAACATCTTTATCGTAACCAAAAAAGTTTATTTAAAAAAAATGTTTTTGACCTATTTCATAGGCCATCGTCAGGTTGAAAACGGACAATTGGAGCATTTCCGTTCCACGAGATCGAATACAAATATTCAAATTTCAAAAAAACTGACAACGGATTAAAAAATAATATACGAGTAATGTATAATATATATATATATATATAATAAAAAGCAAACAATAAAATAAAAAATACAAATAAATTCATAAATACTACTAAATACAAGTTTCAACTAATACTATTTAGAACAATCAAATTAACGTGTAAGTTATGAGTTCCTGGCAGACTTTTTAACAATATACTGTACTTTCAGACCGATAAAGGCCTTCTGTGTCCCTCACATTTATACATCTCTCTTTTAGTTTGCTCTTATAAATCTCTATATTTTCAGCAGTCTTTGCTAATGTTGGGGAGCTCACAAGTTTAATAATGTCCGCTTCATCCCATTTAACTACCAAGCTTTGGGTCTGAGCCATCTCTGATCTGGGAAAAACCGTCACATTTTTTTCTGATGTTATACTTGTGCTCCTTGAGTCTTACACTCAAATTCCTTGTTGTAACTCTGATATAATCTCTCCTAATTCCCAGCTGTGCGTTTTCGTATGGTATCCTATAGACACCTGCTTTTTTTCCTTCTTAATTAATGCTATCCTTGTAATTTCTTAAATTTTATACCGGTTTGGGGCTGTTTTTAGAATTATTGTTGACTCCTTGCGGTGCTCAATTTCTTCCATAATGTCTTTTGCATATCTGTTATAAGTGAATTTTATGATTTTACCGGGACCTTGTTTTGAGTCCCTTGTTATGCTCTTTTCGCATCTTTTAACATTTCCTGTTATAGTGTCTTTCTTGTACCCTAATGCCTTGGCCACTTGCAGAATTCTGTCAATTTCCTTTCCTCTGTCCATAACGTTTTCACAATATAGAAAGGCCTTTCTAATTAGAGCCCAGAATGCTGCCATCTCATAATGATATGGATCATTTGATTGTGAGGGGATGTAAAGGGGACTGTGCATTGGTTTAATGTAAACACCGGTTGATAAATGCTGTTTTTTTAATTGGATGTTGATGTCCAAAACATGTATTATTACGGAACTTTTCTGTTTTAATTTCAGTTTTAGGCCATCACTGTTACGATCGATGCTTTCAATGAATTCATTAATCTTACGGTTATTATTCCATAATATAAAGATTTCATCCACATATCTTTTAAAATATACTATACTTTTACGGAAGTCATATTAAACTCTTTTCTCCATTTAATTCTAACACATAAAAAATATCTAAATACTGTATGAGGGGTGTTCAAAAAGTTCCTAGAAAATGGTTATTATTTGTAAACAATACTATATTTATCATTAATTGAAAACTGAAAAACAATAACTGCAAGCTATTGTGAAACAATTTTAAAAAACTGCATGCAGCTCTAAAAAAATTAACTTTAAAAAATTCACCATTATGAAAATGTACCAGACCACTCTAAGATCTATCAGAGCAGCACTACATGAACACAGATGAGAGATTTTACCACACCCTCTCTACAATCCAGATCTATCATCANGTCTATGCATACATCATTATATGCGCTCACGATACTTTCGATTCGTCACTTTTCCGTCGTAGATTTCCCATTTTACAATTGCGTGACTCATATCTTGGTGATAATGGAGAGAAGAGACAAATAGGACATCGATGTAAGTCACAGTTATGATTTCACAGATTCGAGACAGCTTGGTAGTGCGAACGGCCCCAGGCTTTCGCCCGTGCAAGCTAAGTGACTTTCATTACAAGCATTTAGCTTTCCGAAGTCTATGACAACAATTGTTTGGCATTGCCGCCCACGAATTTCACACCAATAAGCTGTCTCGACTTGTTCGATTATGTTATCAACTCAATTTCATATTTATTTTCACATTTTAACTTTGCGGTCCTTCTCTGTTCTTTTTCCGTTATTTACACGTGTAGGTCATTTCATTGTTATCCACATTTGATATCATCATTTATCACATACTGCCATGACGCTCATGACTGTCCGCTACAACTGTCAAGAATTAACGCGATTGGCGAAGCGTAGTGACAGCGGGCCAATAGAGAGCAGGGTCCTCGCCATAATGCGGTTTGCGCGCCAATTTTCGCACGTGTGTTAATCAAGCCAAATATTTGGCTATTCGGCCACGCTCTTGGCCGAATATACTATTCGTTGCATCACTAGTGCCTTTATATTTATGGAAAGCACTTTAGCTTGCCATAGGTCTTTGTTGACATGGTAAAAAAGACCTTTCTGACAATGAATGATAGTTTGCCACTCCTAAGTAATAGAGAAGAATTTAATAATTAATTACACTTTTGAGTGTTTTACACAACAATCATTAATTAACTATTTAAAAAAGTTTAAATGTTTTAAAGAAAAAAAAAGGCAATTAACTTCTGTAAAAGCAATAACTGGGTGTAATCAGTCTAGAAAATAGCATTGACTGGCAATTTTGATGTTTGTCTGAGTTTGAAATTCAATAGAAGCTTGAAATTTTTTAAAATTTTCACACTTTCAAACTTTGTTATTTTCTTTAACGTCATATTTAGTAATTAAGCACCTCTGATAAGGTAGGAGGCTTGACTAATTCTTGAGTCTAATTATTGCAACTGATGTAAGTAAATTCTCCAATAAAGTAGAGTTTTGGAAATTTTATATGAATGTCATTAAAATAAAGCAACAATATTTTCTTATGAAATTATAATTATTAAAATTATTGAATTAAATTAATATGAAATCTAAATTACATATAAAGACAAATANTAAAATAAAAAATACAAATAAATTCATAAATACTACTAAATACAAGTTTCAACTAATACTATTTAGAACAATCAAATTAACGTGTAAGTTATGAGTTCCTGGCAGACTTTTTAACAATATACTGTACTTTCAGACCGATAAAGGCCTTCTGTGTCCCTCACATTTATACATCTCTCTTTTAGTTTGCTCTTATAAATCTCTATATTTTCAGCAGTCTTTGCTAATGTTGGGGAGCTCACAAGTTTAATAATGTCCGCTTCATCCCATTTAACTACCAAGCTTTGGGTCTGAGCCATCTCTGATCTGGGAAAAACCGTCACATTTTTTTCTGATGTTATACTTGTGCTCCTTGAGTCTTACACTCAAATTCCTTGTTGTAACTCTGATATAATCTCTCCTAATTCCCAGCTGTGCGTTTTCGTATGGTATCCTATAGACACCTGCTTTTTTTCCTTCTTAATTAATGCTATCCTTGTAATTTCTTAAATTTTATACCGGTTTGGGGCTGTTTTTAGAATTATTGTTGACTCCTTGCGGTGCTCAATTTCTTCCATAATGTCTTTTGCATATCTGTTATAAGTGAATTTTATGATTTTACCGGGACCTTGTTTTGAGTCCCTTGTTATGCTCTTTTCGCATCTTTTAACATTTCCTGTTATAGTGTCTTTCTTGTACCCTAATGCCTTGGCCACTTGCAGAATTCTGTCAATTTCCTTTCCTCTGTCCATAACGTTTTCACAATATAGAAAGGCCTTTCTAATTAGAGCCCAGAATGCTGCCATCTCATAATGATATGGATCATTTGATTGTGAGGGGATGTAAAGGGGACTGTGCATTGGTTTAATGTAAACACCGGTTGATAAATGCTGTTTTTTTAATTGGATGTTGATGTCCAAAACATGTATTATTACGGAACTTTTCTGTTTTAATTTCAGTTTTAGGCCATCACTGTTACGATCGATGCTTTCAATGAATTCATTAATCTTACGGTTATTATTCCATAATATAAAGATTTCATCCACATATCTTTTAAAATATACTATACTTTTACGGAAGTCATATTAAACTCTTTTCTCCATTTAATTCTAACACATAAAAAATATCTAAATACTGTATGAGGGGTGTTCAAAAAGTTCCTAGAAAATGGTTATTATTTGTAAACAATACTATATTTATCATTAATTGAAAACTGAAAAACAATAACTGCAAGCTATTGTGAAACAATTTTAAAAAACTGCATGCAGCTCTAAAAAAATTAACTTTAAAAAATTCACCATTATGAAAATGTACCAGACCACTCTAAGATCTATCAGAGCAGCACTACATGAACACAGATGAGAGATTTTACCACACCCTCTCTACAATCCAGATCTATCATCATTAAACTTTGTTAATTCCCAAATTTAAAAAAAAAAATTAAGGCATTTGCTGGCAGTCAATAGATCAAGTAAAAAGCTTTGTAGTGCAGTGGCTAAAATCAAAAAGCACCAATTTCTAATGCAAGGGCTTAGAGGGGTTTTGAACACATTCAATTAGAATTTATCAGTTTTCTAAATTGGCACCTTACTGTAAACAAGTATCTTGTAGATTTTAGTATTATTTGGTATTTTGTATAAAAAAAAAAACACCTTGCAGTTTGGAGAACTGTTTCATGTCACAATACATGGTCTTCTTTATACAGCTTTTTGCTGAAACAGCATTCTAGTTTTATAGCTCAGTTTCACTTTACAGTCCAAAAACTTTTAATATAGAGAAAAAGAAAAAATAAAACAGTACAGGTATTTACTGATGCAAGCACAATGTGCATCTACCACACCCACAACTACCAAAGTTCAGTAAATAAGCAGCCATTTACTGATACATTAAATTTAACATAGTAATTATTTACACCATATTTCATTTTATTCTTTATATATTATTTTATTACAAAGTTTTAAAAAAATTTATTTTTATTTATTATTTATGTTGAAATCAACTGACATCAAAGTTAAATTTGGTTATTAATTTTGACTGCTTGAATTTGAATTTCCATGTGCAGACAAATATTATACTTGGCATTAATTAAGTGAAGTGATTTACTTCAGCAATAACAAACTTTGGACACGTCATGTGTACAAGAGTTTGTTTCTGCTTGAGTTTCAGCTTGGAAACACCATTGTTGTACACTAAAATCTTTATTATATTTGTCAGTTATTTTGCTCTGTTTATTAATTACTGCATTTCTTTCATATAAATAACAAAAAATCATTTTCAAGTAAAAATTTCTGTTTTTCAACATTTTGCTGTTAAATTGGAAAAAATCCTGTGAAATTTGTATGGATTTGTACACAAATAAATGATTTGTTATATGGCATTTTGTTTTACAGCCAACTTTCCAGAACGTATCCTGTCCATATATTGAAGAATGAGTGTACTCTTCATTCATATAAGGTGTGTCCCATGAATATAAAGGCACAACTTGTTATGAAAACAAAAACTAAACTAATTATCATAACAGAACTAATTTAATTTTGACGTAGTTACAACTTACAAACAAACATACTAAAAAATCATGTAATTATATTGTTTAACAATTTAACGATAAATTAATTTAAATCAAAATTACGTTTCTCGCTGACCCAAAAAATATAAAGGCAGGTTAGATTTTCTAACAATAGAGGTCATATGGTACTACAGTTTAACTACCACATATTTCAATTTTTTTTTCTGTTACGTATTGATGTAAATCAGGAGTCCGATTTACATCAATGGAACTTGCCTTGGACACCCCCCAAGGCAAGTTCCAATGCGGCCCAATAAACATGTAAACAAAACCAACAAATTTTTTAAATTTTATTTTTATTTATTCATTTCAACGGCATAAACTCAAGAAAGAAGTTTCACAAAGCCATAACTCTTTATACATATTTCATTTTTGAGTGGAAAGAAAATATTTTCCAATACTTGGAAATGTGCATATGAAGAAGGAATACTAAATAAAGCTGGATTTGTGACTCAAAAAAATTATAGACCCAAATTTGGGGAAAGACGAGAAAGGCCAAAATATAAAGTAGCGAGAAAGGTTAAATAGACTTTCTGTTAAGCAAATAGTGACCCTTAATTTTCCAACCTTCCTCACTTCTTTATGTTTTGTCTTTTCTTTTCTTTTCTTTCTGCATTTGGGCCTATAATTTTCTGAGTCCAAACTTCAGCTTTATTTGGTATTCCTTCCTGCATTGCAAGATTTTGCTATTTTGTGCCAAATTTGCCTACCCTGTTTTAGTTTGGTGTAAAAAATATCATTTGGCCCATTGGATACTTTCTGGGCTACATATTATTTATAAATATATTAGTTGAATAAAATTCACTTTAAAATGATGTTTTGTCGTTTTTTAGTTAATTAGAGATCAGAGAAAACAAATATTTCTGTTTTTCAAATAAATTTTTGTTCGTCTCCTTTATAATAAATAAATTTATCTATTTCTAAGTAAATATTGAAAGTGTCTGTAGAAGTAATTTTTCAAAATATCCTNATATTTTTATTTAATTTTATTTTTCTGCTTAAGAGAATCTGATGAAGTTGATAAAAGGCATATAATCTTATACAGGGTGTTCGGAAATTCCTGTTACAAACGTCTAGGACTTGTAGAGGGGAGTGAGTACATAATATTTTGATCGGGGACCCATGTCCGGAAACGTACCGTTTCGTTTCTACGATAATTTCAATTCACATGTTTAACTCTTGTTTGTAACGGGAATTTCCGAACACTATGTAGATGGCATATATTATAACAATACTTACATACGCTGTCTTATCCTCATACAAAACAACTTCATATCCTAAATACATAAATGTTATGTTAAGCATTGTCACGTCTTCTTCCGATCCATATCTTTTATCTTCATTGTAATTAAAATTGAAATTGTTTAAAATAACGCACGTCCCGTGTGGTTTACATTGCATCTTATAACACTGTAAAATTTTAAAATAAGTTCAAATATATGCCATACCTAGAATATATAAAAAAAAGCCAACAGCTAACTCGATATACATTACACCGTCCAATGCCAAATTAACAGGTTAGAAATGGCTATAATAATAATATGATTGATAAGATAATTTGATACTAGAGTTAGGCATTCGGTGCCATCTCTTGCTAAGTTAAATGATTTAAATAATTTTAGAACTAACTGGAATAAAAGAATCGGACCAGAGCGGGACTCGAACCCGCAACTCTTGCATACCGTGCAGATGCATTGCCAATTACACTACCCGGTCAATGTTGCCAGATCTTAAGGTTTAAAAGTAGCATGGCTGTGCTCCAAAAGTAGCAGAAGTTGCAAAATAATTCATAAGTGCATAGTTGCATTAGTAAAAGTGCATAGTTGCAAAATAATTCATTTTTATTGTTTTGGCTACAAACAATAAAAATGAATTATTTTGCAACTATGCACTTTTACTAATGAAATAACTTTGTAATATATATATGGGCATTCGGTGTATCTGCATCAATTTTCTCTAAATCAAAGTGTGTCATTTTTTTTAACTCTTTCCGCTCTGTGGGAACTAAGAGGGCCTCTTTTTTGCAAGCCCATTATGGGTACGGCCAGGCCTCAATGGGGTGACCGGGTGGTGATGGACGGGGCCCGACATGTCCGGACGGACCCTCCCAAAAAATTTTGGGGATTATTCGACCCGTCCGGATTCGATCCAGGGTCCTTCAGAGCGGTAGGCTGCCATCTTGACCGCTAGGCCATCCGGCCAAGCGAGTCATTCGCAGACGAGGCGATTCATTTTTGAACTTAGAGGCTTAGCGACTACTGATTTTGTTTTCAGTTTTAAGGCCTCCCTGTTTCCATTGTATCAAGAACTGTTGTATCAAAATTTAATAACTTTTGGATCACTTGTTAGGAGATAAAATTGACAATTCCAACAGAATAATGCTGCCATTCATGCATCAAAGTCAACTAAAAATTGGTAGTAACGGTGAAAACTCAAGAAATGTCTATTGTTGCCAGATCTAAAGTTACTAAAACGTAACAAGTTCGATACTCGTTTAATTCTTGTTTTAGTACTAAAAGTACTAAAGAATTAAACGAGTATCGAACATCTTACGTTTTAGTAAAACTTGCATTCATCGCAAATAGAAATATTGAACAAACAGAACTTTAAGTAAAATGAAAAAAAATATAAAAACATGGGTGATGGTAATACATTTAATTTCATTAAACTTAATTGCATAAATAAATAAATACAAAGTTGAAACATTTAACAAAAATAAAGATACTTTGCATCTGTTTTCAAGTAGACAATCCACAACGTCACAAGAACAAAGGCGACCTTGCTTGTGAAACTGTAAATCGTCTACTGGAAAACAAACCCAAAGTATCTTTATCTGTGTTAAACGTTGCAGCTTTATTTATACAATTAAGTGTAATAAAACTTTATTATTTTTGTATAATACAATAAATGTTTTGCGATTTTATATATGAAAATAAAAAAGTAGCGTATTTTTTAGATTTGTAGCCTGAAAATAATTATCACTAGCCCAAAAAGTAGTGTGTCGCCCAATTTGAAATTTTTGTAGCGTGGGCCCTTAAAAGGTAGCCCACTCTGCTACTCGTAACCGAATCTGGCAACCCTGTACCCTGTCCTCCGGTCTGATCTTTTTTTCCAGTATATATAAGCTTATGCTACGACCATCGACGGCCATTACAATGCCGTCTGGAGACACATCAAGTGCCCACATCCTGTAAACGTCTCCCAATGCACTCAACTGGCCATCGCAACCCCGTCAAAGCACACACACACACATATATATATATATGCAGTGGTACCTCGGTATACGTCTGCTTTAGAATACGTCCAATTCGGAATACATACTGTTTTAACGAAACAAATTTTGCTTGTTTTACGACTTAATTTAATTATACGCTCCATCTATGAACAAGTAGTACTATCGATGTACTAGACCAAACTAGTTTGCGGTGCCACGGTTTATAACTGTATTAAATTTCTTCTGATTTTATTTCGTAAGTAAAATTTAATTAGTTTCATTAATCATGAATTGCAAAAAGGCAAATGAAAAGCAACAGAAAACTATAAAAATGACTAGAATCACAATAGAACTGAAAAAAGAGATTGTTGAGAAATATGAAGGTGGCATGCGTGTTCAAGATTTAACTGTTGCATACTGTATTCCAAGAACGACAGCATCGACAATCGTGAAAAATAAAGCTATTATTAAATCCGCTAACGATGCAAAAAGGAATCAAATTAGCCCAATAGAATTTCAGTATATGGTTGGTGTCTAGTATATATGTTACTGTGAAAGACAGAATATTTGGTTATATTATTATACATTCAAACAATCGCCGGTGTATGTCGACAAGCACAGATAACGTTTGGTGGAGGTGGAAATGACACCCGAATAGCCGATAGTGAGAGGCGACAGTCTGTCGCCAAATCGTTTGTGGGTAACGGTTTGGTGGAAACTGTCAACTTTGTCACTGGATGACATTTTTGTTGTTTTGATCCCGTGAGGTGAGGATCGATTTGTCAGGTCTAGTGGCAGAGGATGAGAGGGGTCGTCGGTAAGGCGTCGGCAATATTCGAATAAAAGACACCATTAACAGATCTGTTCGTAATAACGTAATCAGTTCGTAATTTGTAAAGAAAAGTTACTTTCGATATTTGAGATTTCTTCTCAAGAAATATCGCTGAGAGAAGCAGCTGCAGCTAATTCGAAAAGTGGAGGGCAAGGCTATGCATGCTGTCATTGCAAAAAGAAGTGTTTCACGAATAAATGCAGTTGTAAAAGCAAGAGACTCTTGTGAAATTCAAAGTGTCACAACAGTTTAAGTTGTTGCAATAAATAAGATTGTATANAAGTGTCTGTAGAAGTAATTTTTCAAAATATCCTTTTTTGTGATAAAGTTTTAATATTTATTACTATAATCTAAACACGTTAATCCTTAAATATACAAGTATATTTAGGCCACAAGTATATACAATATACTTGTGGCCTAAAACTCCATGACTTCTTACAATGTGGCCCAGAGAAACATGAACGTTGTACACCTCTAATGTAAATGAATTGTTCTTCATCACGGGACATGCAAAACCTTTAATAGATGTTTAAATAAGCAAGTTTTCAGCTTTAAGACATGAAAATTAATTACTCAGCAAAAGCAATTGCAAAGAAAATTAATTGTTTCCAACTGTAATCAACAATTTTGTAAAGTTTGAAGACAAATATAGACAAAAGATATCAACTGGTTGACCTTCAAAGCTTACATATAGAGAAAAATGTAGTATTTTGAGGGAAATCAAAAGCAAACAAACATCTTTACGAAAACTAGCATCAAAACCAGAACTTAATGTATCAAATTCTACAATTGAAAGAATTGTTAGTACATGTCAGCATCTCATCTATAAGAAAAAAAAAATCTGAGCCATCACTAATCTTCTTCTATGAGGAAAACACTTGCAGTGGACATGGGAGAAATGAGATGGACAGACACATGGAAGCACATCATCTGGAGTGATGAGAATAAGTTTAATTCTAATGGACCAAATGATTGGACTTGTTATTAGCATGATTTAAGGGGCAAGGAAGAAATATTTTCAAAATGGCAGCAAGGGGGAGGTTCAGTGATGATATGGGATGGGTTTAGTTGGTTTGGCAAGACAAATATTACATTCCTCAGTGGTCGAATGAATGCGAATCATTATCAAGACATGCTAGAAAGTTTTCTTTTTCCTTGGGCTGATGTAATTGCTGGAAATCATTGGTTTTTCAAACAAGATCCACACAGCTAAATCAACTTATTATGGGTGGTTTTCAGTAATGGAGTCCCAGTTATTGATTGACCAGCTCGTTCCTCAGATTTGAATCCAATGGAAAACCTCTGGGGAATCTTAGCTAGAGCTGTATGAGTATATGCTAGCAGGTGCTAATATCAGTGTAGATGAGTTAAAACATGCAATTAATATCCATTGGAAAAAATAACTACAACAGTCCTTCAAAAACTTATACAATCAACGTCAGATTGTATCTACAAGGTTCTAGTGAAAAAAGGGAAAGTGTATTAGTTATTAGTGGATTATTATTAAAGATCTGTAACAATACTTTCTACTGTTCTAGTTATTTTGTATTTTATGACTTTAAAATTTTGGGACAGAAGGAAACATGATTTTGATTTAAATTAATTTATTGCTAAATTGTTAAACAATATAATTACATGATTTTTTTAGTATCTTTACTTGTAAGTTGTAACTACCTCAAAATTAAACTGGTTCTGTTATGATAATTAGTTTAGCTTTTATATGCATAACAAGTTGTGCCTTTTAGTGATGTAACGAATATTCAGTTACTATTCGGTATTCAGCCTATCTTTCGCTATTCGGCCGCATACCGAATACCTAAAAACAAGAGTAAGAAATAACAAAAACACAGTAAATTAATCATTTTGGTACAGTAGGTGATCGGTTAACGAACATAATCCGTTCCAAGACTTTTTTCGTTATCCGAATTGTTCGTTAACCGATTATCGATTTACCATAGGTTTCTATGGGAATTTGATTAATTCATTCCGAAGACTCCAAAAAATAAAAATATATATACTTTTTTACTACGTTTATTTATATGTAATAATAAAAATACATATATATACAGTCTTGCATTTTTATTACTCATGTTTTTTCCGTTTGTAGGGGTTAAAGAATCTGTCCAATGTCGATTGCTTTTCTCTTTTCTTCAGGATTTTTCGAAAGTAATTAATAGCGCTGTCGTCGTAGAGATCCCCAAGCCTATTAACCTCAACTTGGTTTGGATGCCATTCTAAGACCGTTGTTCTGACATCCTCCCACTTCTTCAAAAGATCTTTAATAGCAGATGTTGGCATTGATCCTTTTTCATCTTCCTCTTTTTCAGAAGAAAACATATCTCGCTGAGTTTCTTG